CTCGGAAATTTGTGTGTTTTTGAGCTGATGAATACTTTCAATGTAGCCATAGGATTTTGCGTTGTGTTATTACTAGTCATCAAACCCGGCGAAAGTTTCTTAGACCCCACCACTCCTCTGGAGAACAGGTCTGGCCCTTTAGTAACCCCCGTTTCGCATACAAATACTACCGGGAAGAAACCCCGTAGTGTATAAATGTGACTCGCTAATAGCCTCGGGTATTTTTTGGGTGCGGGCCAAGAACAGTCACGGTTTTCCCCAGAAAAGGGAAGATGGTAGCAACTCCCCCAAAAAAGCAGGTTGATTTTGTATTGGGATTAATTTTGTCCGGGAGGCAAGATTAATAAACTAAAAATTGTTTTTTGTCTTTTTAAGGTTAAAAGGCTGGTTAGTCAGTGTGGTTAAGATTAGGGTTAATGCTAGGGTTAGGTTAAAAATTAGATGTTATGACTTTGTGGCTAGGCTAGCTAGTGACCACTCTCCAGAGCTGCCTCCAGGACAAGATTCATCCCAATAAATGCCAACCTGCCAAAAAAGACTGCAACAACCTGTGTGCGATGCTATCATCACCTTTCCTTTTTTGGAATACCAAGGATCTAAAAAGTCCTCAACGATCACACTAAGCAATATTCATCGGATTGTATGTACTGTACTGTGTGTCTAAGTGCACATTTCCTGACCTGACGTCTTTGTGTTGGCAGATGTACAGACTGTGGAAGTTCTGTCCTTTCTCTTTATTCTCTGACAGTCATTTGATGATCTCTGTCTTCAGCTCCATGGCGATGTACCGTGGCAACACAGACAGGAGGAGGTGCTCCTGTTGTCAGGGGGAGGGGCATGAGGAGGGTTTTTGTGTTCATTGATTAAATTATCAAACTATTCACTTACAGTAGCAGACTTTGCATGCAAGTCATAAAGGTGGGTCTCTAGCACTGAAACCTCTCTTGAATGAGGATGCCTTTTAAATGGGCTCTGAGGGGAATTATTAATAGCACTATAGAATTGAATTGAATTGAATTGACTTGAGCTGAGTTGAGTTCGGTTGAGTTCAGTTGATTTGAACTGAATCGAACTGAACTGTACTGAACTTGAACTAAGTTGACTTGAAGTGAGTTTAATTGAGCTGAACTGAATTGAAAACTGATGCAAACTCGACTCAACAAATTGACTTGATTTATCTACCTGCTGGTGTTTCTGTATGACCCTCTGTGAGTGCACAGTGCTGAACCTCTCTTTCTTCTTACTGGACTTCCTGTGGGCATGCTCAGTCAGCCACAGGTGAAACACACAGTGCACACATACAAACACCACTGCATTGGCCACCAGCTGTCAGGGAGGGAGATGGGGGGGAGGAGGGGGAGGAGGGGAGAGAGACACATTTTCATAACCAGGCAAGTTCATTAAGAACAAATTCTTATTTACAATGAGAGAGTGGGGAAGAGGGGGAAGAGATGGGGAAAGGGAAGGGAGAGGAGGGAAAAAAGGAGAGAAGCGAAGAGAGGGAGAGAGACAGAGAAGAAAGAAACAAAAGAAGAGAAAAGAGAAAGGGGGAACGAGAGAGCAAAAGAGACAGAGGAAAAAAAGAGAGAAAGAGGAGAAAGACAGAGGACAGAGAACACAAAAAAGAAAACAGAAGAGAACAGGAAAGAAAAGAACTAGAGGGAGAATAAGAGAGAAGAAGAAGAAAAGAGAAGAGGAGAATAGGGAGAGGAAAAATAGGAGATAGAGGAAAAAAGAGAAAAGAGAAGGAGAAAAGAGAAAAAGGGGGATAAAAAAGGAAAAAAATAAAAGAAAAAAGATAGGGGAGTTAAAATATAATAAAAGATTAACAAAAGAACTAAAAAAAATAAGAAATTAAATTAACAAAATATATTTAAAAAAGAAAAAGATAATAAAAAATAATTAAAATAAAAGAAAAAGAAAAGATAAAGGGGTTGAAAAAAGATAAACAAAAAAGAGAAAAGAAAACAAAAGAAAAACCTAAGAAGAGAAAAATTAAATTAAATTAACAAGGGTTGGGGAAAAAAAGTTAGAAAACATTCTAAAATAACAAGGGGGAAAAATTTGATACCAATTTAAAACCCGTTTGTTGTGGGCTGTGCTATTGTGCACAATGTCCTGGCGGATTTGAATAGAGACGATATGTTTTAGACGATACAAATGTGTGTGCGTGTGTGCTTACTGTAACTCTTTCTTTCATTCTCTGCAGCTCAATTGCAAGAGTTCGCCTGTGACCTTTCCATTTGCAGTACATTTAGTGTGGGTGTATTTTTTTCATACTACTGCACCAAGCTGAGTCAAACCAAGCTCTATTGCTCTGTCCTGGCTACACAGCCACTATAGAACTCTACTGCTCTGTCCTGGCTACACAACCACTGTAGAACTATACTGCTCTGTACTGGCTACACAACCACTATAGAACTCTACTGCTCTGTCCTGGCTACACAGCCACTATAGAACTCTACTGCTCTGTCCTGGCTACACAACCACTATAGAACTCTACTGCTCTGTCCTGATTGCACAACCACTATAGAACTCTACTGCTCTGTCCTGGCTACACAACCACTATAGAACTCTACTGCTCTGTCCTGGCTACACAACCACTATAGAACTCTACTGCTCTGTCCTGGCTACACAACCACTATAGAACTCTACTGCTCTGTCCTGGCTACACAACCACTATAGAACTCTACTGCTCTGTCCTGATTGCACAACCACTATAGAACTCTACTGCTCTGTCCTGGCTACACAACCACTATAGAACTCTACTGCTCTGTCCTGGCTACACAACCACTATATAACTCTACTGCTCTGTCCTGGCTACACAACCACTATAGAACTCTACTGCTCTGTCCTGGCTACACAACCACTATAGAACTCTACTGCTCTGTCCTGATTGCACAACCACTATAGAACTCTACTGCTCTGTCCTGGCTACACAACCACTGTAGAACTCTACTGCTCTGTCCTGATTGCACAACCACTATAGAACTCTACTGCTCTGTCCTGGCTACACAGCCACTGTAGAACTCTACTGCTCTGTCCTGGCTACACAACCACTATAGAACTCTACTGCTCTGTCCTGGCTACACAACCACTATAGAACTCTACTGCTCTGTCCTGGCTACACAGCCACTATAGAGCTCTACTGCTCTGTCCTGGCTACACAACCACTATAGAGCTCTACTGCTCTGTCCTGGCTACACAGCCACTATAGAACTCTACTCCTCTGTCCTGGCTACACAGCCACTATAGAGCTCTACTGCTCTGTCCTGGCTACACAACCACTATAGAGCTCTACTGCTCTGTCCTGGCTACACAGCCACTGTAGAACTCTACTGCTCTGTCCTGGCTACACAACCACTATAGAACTCTACTGCTCTGTCCTGGCTACACAGCCACTGTAGAACTATACTGCTCTGTCCTGGCTACACAACCACTATATAACTATACTGCTCTGTCCTGGCTACACAACCACTATATAACTCTACTGCTCTGTCCTGGCTACACAGCCACTATAGAGCTCTACTGCTCTGTCCTGGCTACACAACCACTATATAACTCTACTGCTCTGTCCTGGCTACACAGCCACTGTAGAACTATACTGCTCTGTCCTGGCTACACAACCACTATATAACTATACTGCTCTGTCCTGGCTACACAACCACTATATAACTCTACTGCTCTGTCCTGGCTACACAGCCACTATAGAGCTCTACTGCTCTGTCCTGGCTACACAACCACTATAGAACTATACTGCTCTGTCCTGGCTACACAACCACTATAGAGCTCTACTGCTCTGTCCTGATTGCACAGCCACTATAGAACTCTACTGCTCTGTCCTGGCTACACAGCCACTATAGAACTCTACTGCTCTGTCCTGGCTACACAGCCACTATAGAACTCTACTGCTCTGTCCTGGCTACACAGCCACTGTAGAACTCTACTGCTCTGTCCTGGCTACACAGCCACTATAGAGCTCTACTGCTCTGTCCTGGCTACACAACCACTGTAGAACTCTACTGCTCTGTCCTGGCTACACAGCCACTATAGAACTCTACTGCTCTGTTCTGGCTACTCAACTACTATAGTTGCTGGAACTGTAACTGTAAAGGACAACATGAAAATAATACATCAGATTTGGGTCAGCACAATAGTGTGAATAGGGTATGTGTGGTCTTTGAACATATTGTTCAATCATAATCTAATCATCCATTTATTCCATAGCTGTATGTTTGGTATCACATTCATGATTTAAAGCCCCACTCCGTAATTCAAACAGCAACAAAATGGCAGCCCTGCCACTTGGTTTGCTAAAAAGCTGAGAGATGACACTAGGGAAATGTAACCACTCTCAAATTTAATTTAACTATAATTTATAATTGATATTCAATGAGTATTTATCATTCATTTAAATGGCTTAAAAATTGCTGTGAAAATTACAGAGTGCGCCTTTAAGCAAATAAGTGTGTATGTCAGCGTCCCAAATGGCATCTTAATCCCTACAGAGTGCACTACTTTCGAACAGAACCCTATGGGCCCTGGTCAAAAGTAGTGCACTAAAATGGGAATAGGGTGCCATTTAGGATGCATCTATGTGTGCACAGACAAGTGCGCATGTGTGTTTCAATGAAAGGTCCCTGCCCCTGCTATGCAAATCCACTGAGGTGAACATAGATCAACGAGAGAGAGTTTGATACCATTCCATTCACTCCAGCCATTGTTATGAGCCGTTCTCCCCTCACCAGCCTCCTGTGATTTGAACCCATGTTTGTTCTGATGCCCTCTGTCTGTTTGTGACATGTTAGTGACGCACCCCTAGCAATTATCATGTCATTCATTAATGTCTCTCTGTCTGTCTCTCTCTCTCTCTCTGTCTCTCTCTCTCTCTCTCCCTCTGTCTATCTTCCTGTATCTATGTTCTCGTAGTGACACCAGGCTACACTAGGAAGAGAGCATAAACAGATGACTTACTTTGATGCAAAGATCACGGCTATCAGTTATAGGTTACCATTTAGGATGCAGTCTATGTGTGCACAGACAAGCGAGCATGTGTGTTTTAATGAAAAGTCCCAGCTATGCAAATCCACTGAGGTAAACATAGATGAATGAGAGCGAGAGGGAGAGAGGGGGATGGAAAAGAGGAGGGAGGGGGGAGAGAGGGCAAGAGGAGAGGGAGGGCAAAAGAGGGGAGCGAGAGAGAGAGCGAGATAGAGAGAGAGAGGCAAATGGAAAATGGTGAGGGAGGGGAAAAGGAAAGGGAGAGAGGGAAGGAGAGAGGGAAGGAGGGAGGGAAGGAGAGAGGGAAGGTGGTAGGGAAGGAGGGATGGAAGGAGTGAGGGAAGGAGGGAGGGAAGGAGAGAGGGAAGGAGGGAGGGAAGGAGAGAGGGAAGGAGAGAGGGAAGGAGGGAGGGAAGGAGAGAGGGAAGGAGGGAGGGAAGGAGGGAGGGAAGGAGAGAGGGAAGGAGGGAGGGAAGGAAGGAAGGAGAGAGGGAAGCCAAGCTTTGAATAGTTGAATTTCCAATGATAGTGCAAACAAACTGGACAGTGTTGCCTATACACAATGCTACACATGCACTCAGCACACCATGGGCCCTGGTCAACAGTAGTGCACTATATGGGAATATGGTGTCATTTGGGACACAGAAAAAACAGACTCACCTGGCTGGAACTGAAAGATGATCACACCACTCGATGAAGAATTCAAGGGAATATCCGATGACATATTCATTTTCCCCATTTCAGTCATAAAGATAATATCGATGGCTATACATTGTGAATATAAAGTCCATTATTGTTTTTTTTGCTACACCGTAACACTTTTTTATTTTTGATAATGTTATTTTTATTAGTATTATATTATTATTATTATTATATATATATATATATATATTTTTTTTTTTGGGGGGGGGTAGATCAGCTTTAATATTGCAGATAGATTGTAGCTTCCATCAATGTAATTGTCTGCATCACTTCCAATCCCCCATATATTATTTTGCAAATATATATACACTACCGTTCAAAAGTTTGGGGTCACTTAGAAATTTCCTTGTTTTCTAAAGAAAAGCAATTTTTTTCAAACATCAAATTGATCAGAAATACAGTGTAGATATTGTTAATGTTGTAAATGGCTATTGTAGCTGGAAACGGCTGGTTTTTAATGGAATATCTACATAGGCGTACAGAGGCCCATTATCAGCAACCATCATTCCTGTGTTCCAATGGCACGTTGTGTTTGCTAATCCAAGTTTATCATTTTAAAAGGCTAATTGATCATTAGAAAACCCTTTTGCAATTATGTTAGCACAGCTGAAAACTGTTGTGCTGATTAAAGAAGCAATAAAATTGGCCTTCTTGAGACTAGTTGAGTATCTGGAGCATCAGCAGTTGTGGGTTCGATTACAGGCTCAAAATGGCCAGAAACAAAGAACTTTCTTCTGAAACTCGTCAGTCTATTCTTGTTCTGAGAAATGAAGGCTATTCTATGCGAGAAATTGCCAAGAAACTGAAGGTCTCGTACAACGCTGTGTACTACTCCCTTCACAGAGCAGTGCGAACTGGCTCTAACCAGAATAGAAAGAGGAGTGGGAGGCCCCGGTGCACAACTGAGCAAGAGGACAAATACGTTAGTGTCTAGTTTGAGAAACAGACGCCTCACAGGTCCTCATCTGGCAGCTTCATTAAATAGTACCCGCAAAACACCAGTCTCAACGTCAACAGTGAAGAGGCGACTCCGGGATGCTTCTAGGTAGAGTTGCAAAGAAAAAGCCATATCTCAGACTACCCATCTTCATCTTTTCTTTGTATTGGCCAGTCTGAGATATGGCTTTTTCTTTGCAAGTCTGCCTAGAAGGTCAGCATCCCGGAGTCGCCTCTTCACTGTTGACGTTGAGACTGGTGTTTTGCGGGTACTATTTAATGAAGCTGCCAGTTGAGGACCGATTGTATTATTTGGCATTCATAGACTGGTTTTATGCAGCACAAACTTTATATCCAAGCTGCGAGAGAGTGAGAGGACAGCTAAGGTAGGCTATAGGCCTACAGAATAGTGGTATATTCTAAAGAAAATCTATTGGTTACTGATTAGTATTCTGTTTCATTGAAAATTAATTTTACAATCTGCAATGCTTGAATTTCCCACTTTAATTAGGCTACTACCAACCTGGATTCATGGGTAAACGTAACACAGTAAATGTAAATCTGGGACACTCCAATTAGTATGACATGCTACGTTTCGTATGGTATGTATTAATTTGTGGATGTCCACCATCCATTTCTTTTGATATGTTACGAATTACAATTTGTTGTGCCTAACGTTAGCTAGGTGGCTAACTCTAACGTTAGCTAGGCTAAGGGTTAAGGTTATGGTTATGAGTTAGGTTAGGGGAAGGTTTAGCTAAGTATTTGCAAAGTAGCTAAAAAGTAGTATGTTGCTAATTAGCTAAAATGCTAAAGTTGTCCGTGATGAGATTCGAACACGCAATCTTAGTTCCTAGACATTTGCATTATACGCCCACCCATCCACACCAACTACAAGCACTAGCACCACATAATCTAATAGCCTATCGATAGGCAGCCGTGTGGACGTTGCAATTTCAGAACCATGGACAGCGATCAGTAGCCTATACTTTGTGAGTGGCTGACGCATTTTGGGGGGGGATGTTCAGAGAAACAGAGAAACAGCGCTATGCCAGTGACACACACAGAAACACACCAACACACACACACACTATATCATATAACTCACCACTGTAGCAACAGAAGGGAAGTTCCGTCTCACATGTGTAGTCTGCCAATTCGCGTGATTTATCGAACACTGACATATAGTTCCCGTAGTGATTATTGGGTGTTCCTGAACGGCAGTGTCTGAATAAAGAGTTACTCTGGTCCGACCAGCTCCAGTCTCTGAACAGGCCGATCCACGCCCAGCTTCCCTTCGCTAACATGTTCCCTATCTTCTGGCTCTCAGCCAGGTTCCTCACACTGGCCATGTCTGTGTAGTGCTGTCTGCAGTAGCTCTGCCCTTCCTCCCATGTCATACTTTCCTTTGACAAGATGAACCTCTCAGAAATGTTGGTTGTCTTTCCTGCAATTATTGAATGCATCTTGATATCCAGGTAAATATTTCACAAGAAATCTATACTTGTTTTCAGTAATGTTTATATAGTGTCACTTTAGTGATGTGATTTGAAGGAGTCAGGCGCAGGAGGGTAAATCACAGAATAACAGGTTTATTCCGTTGACACAGCGGTACGCAGCAATGTGTCAAACACTCCACTGTGGAAATATACAGCGCACTGGAAACAACAAGGCACACGGGTGAATATCCCGGCGATACAAAATACAAGAGCTCCACCGAGCTAAACTAACCTCCACAATAAACAATCACACACAAAGACAAGGGGGCAGAGGGAACACTTATACAGATACTGAGGAGGGGAATTGAAACCATGTGTGTAATAAACAAGACAAAACAAATGGAATGATGAGATGAGGAGTGGCAGTGGCTAGAAGACCGGTGACGACGAACGCCGAAGCCTGCCCGAACAAGGAGAGGAGGCAGCTTCGGAGGAAGTCTTGACAGTACCTCCCCCCCTTTGACTCGCTGCTGGACACCGGCCTCGGGGACGGCCAGGAAGATGTGGAGCAGGGCGAGCCAGATGGCGACGGTGGAAATCCCGCAACAGGGAGGGATCGAGGATATCCCTCACCGGGACCCAACACCGCTCCTCCGGACCGTACCCCTCCCACTCTGAAGGCCCCCCACCCGACACCTCGTATCCAGGATGGAACGGACGGAGTACGCCGGGTCCCCCTCGATGTCGAAAGGAGGCGGAGGGACCCCTAGCACATCAGACTCCTGGAGCGGACCAGCCACCCCCGGCCTGAGGAGAGACACATGAAACGAGGAGTTAATACAGTAATAGGGAGGGAGTAGCAACCTATATGTAACCTTGTTGATTCTCCTCAGGACTTTGAACGTCCCCACAAACCGCGGGCTCAGCTTCCGGCAGGGCAGGTGGAGGGGCAGATTCTGGGTCGAGAGCCAGACCCGATCACCCGGTACAAAAGCCGGGGCCTCACTGTGGTGGCGGTCAGCGTTGGCCTTCTGGCAACGCACAGCGCGCTGGAGGTGAACGTGAGCAGCGTTCCACGTCTCCTCCGCACGCCGAAACCAGTCATCCACTGCATGAGATTCGGTCTGGCTCGGATGCCACGGTGCCAGAACCGGCTGAAACCTAAGACACATTCAAAGGGAGTTAGGTTAGTGGAGGAGTGACGGAGAGAGTTCTGGACATATTCGGCCCATGGCAAGAACACTGACCACTCCCCTGGCCGGTCCTGGCAGTAGGACCGCAGGAACCTACCCACATCTTGATTCACCCATCCCACCTGCTCATTAGACTCTGTGTGAAACCCAGAGGTCAGGCTAACCGAGAGCCCCAGACGTTCCATGAACGCCTTCCAGACCCTGGATGTGAACTGGGGACCCTGGTCAGACACTATGTCCTCTGGCACCCCTTAGTGCCGGAAGACGTGAGTAAACAGGGCCTCCGCCATCTGCAGGGCCGTTGGGAGACCGGGCAGAGGAGGCAGGTTTTTGAAAAGTGGTCCACAACAACCAGGATTGTGGTGTTACCCTGAGAGAGGGGAAGATCAGTTAGAAAGTCAATACACAGGTGGGACCATGGCCGTTGTGGAACTGGTAAGGGCTGTAACTTACCCGCTGGGAGGTGCCTAGGTGCCTTAGTCTGGGTGCACACCGAGCAGGAGGAGACATACACCCTCACGTCCTTAGCCAAGGTAGGCCACCAGTACTTTCCGGTCAGGCAGCGCACTGTACGACCGATACCTGGGTGACCAGAGGAGGGAGACGTGTGGGCCCAATAGATCAGATGGTCACGGACAAGAGACGGCACGTACTGCAGCCCAGCTGGACACTGAGGTGGAGATGGCTCTGTGTGTACCGCCCGCTATATGTCCACATCCATCGCCCATACTACCGGCGCCACAATGCAGGAGGCCGGGAGTATGGGGGTGTTGTCTATGGGCCTCTCCTCTGTGTCGCACAGTCATGACAGCGCGTCTGCCTTCACGTTCTTCGTACCCGGAATGTATGACAGAGTAAACTCAAACCGGGTGAAGAATAGGGCCCACCTGGCCTGGCGAGGGTTCAGCCTCCTCGCTGCCCGGATGTACTCCAGGTTACGGGGGTCCGTGCAGACGAGGAAAGGGCGTTTTGCCCCCTCGAGCCAGTGCCTCCACATGGTCAGGGCTCTGACCACAGCCAACAGCTCCCGATCACCAACATCGTAGTTCTGCTCTACCGGGCTGAGCTTCTTGGAGAAGAAGGCACAGGGGCGGAGCTTGGGTGGCATGCCCGAGCGTTGAGACAGGATAGCGCCTATCCCTTCCTCGGACGCATCCACCTCCACTACGAACAGTAGTGATGGATCGGGATGGGCCAGTACCGGGGCTGAGGTGAACAGAACCCTCAGGTTACTGAAGGCCCGGTCAGCCTCAGCAGACCAGCGGAGCCGGGACGACCCACCCTTCAACAGAGATGTGATGGGAGCTGCGACCTTGCCAAAGCCCCGGATAAACCTCCGATAGTAGTTGGCAAAGCCAATAAAGTGCTGCACCTCCTTTACCGTGGTTGGAGTCGGCCAATTATGCACGGCTGAAATGCGATCTCCCTCCATCTCCACACCTGAGGTGGTAATGCAGTGTCCGAGGTAGGAGACGGACTGCTGGAAAAACAGACACTTCTCTGCCTTGGCATAAAGGTCATTTTCCAACAGTCGGCCCAGCACTTTGCGATCCAGGGACACATGCTCGGCGCGCGTAGCCGAATACACCAGAATGTCATCGATGCACCATGCATTGACTCGATCACAGATGGGATGAGGGGCAGAGGATAACTATAACGTATTGACCCCTTGTTCAATGCTCGGTAATCAATGCACGGGCACAGACCTCCGTCTTTCTTCTTCACAAAAAAGAAACTTGAGGAGGCGGGCGAAGTGGAGGGTCGTATGAATCCCTGGCGCAGGGACTCGGAGACGTATATCTCCATCGCCTCCGTTTCAGCCTGCGACAGGGGATATACATGACTCCTTGGAGGCACAGCGTCTACTCAAAGGTTTATCGCGCAATCCCCCCCCGCCCCGATGAGGTGGTAATTTGGTCGCCTGCGTTTTGGAAAACGCGTGCTCCAAATCGAGGTATTCGGGGGGGATGCTCACGGTGGAGGAAGTGTCTGTACTTTCCAGCTATGCACCTACACTGACACTCTCGCGACCACCCCGTGAGAACCTTCTGCGACCATGAAAAGGTGGGGTTGTGTAGTGCTAACCAGGGTAGACCCAACACAACAGGGAAATCGGGGGACAAAATAATAAAGAATGTGACGTGCTCTCTATGGGTCCTTTGGGTAACCATCGTGACTGGTGCTGTAACTTCCCTAAGGAACCCTGACCCTAATGGTCGACTGTCAAGTGCTATGATGGGCAGTGGAGTGGATAGGGGAACCAATGGAATAGCTAGACTTAGAGCTAACGACCTGTCCATAAAGTTCACAGCTGGGCCTGAATCGACCAGAGCCTTACACTGGGAAACTACGGGGTAGTCAGGGAAGGTGACGTGTATGGTGCAGTGTGCAGCAGAGGGCTCTGACCGAGTGTGGGTTTGCGCTACCTGGGGTGATGCGAGAGTGCCCTGCCTGCCGCCTCCAGACCCGGAAGAACCCTGACGACAGCGTGCATTATAATGCCCTCTTCTGCCACATGAGTGACACTGAAGCTGTCCTCCTCCGTTCTTCCCGATCCGAGTTGGGGGGAGGTGAACCGGGCAGGCCACTCCCAGGACGTCCTCTAGCAGCCAGCAGGTTGTCCAACCGGATGGCCATGTCCACCAGCTGGTCGAAGGTTAACATGGCTAGCTCCCTTCAGACGTCCTCTCGCAGGCTGCACCGGAATCCGTCGATCAGGGCCCGCTCGTTCCACCCGGACCCAGCCGCTAGGGTCCGAAACTCCAGGGCGAAGTCCTGCGCGGTCCTCGTCCCCTGCCTCAGTTGGACCAGACGCTCGCCCGCCTCTCGTCCTTCGGGCGGGTGGTCGAAGACTGCACGGAAGAGGCGAGCGAACTCCCCGTAGTTGTCCAACGCGGTTCCTCCTTCTCTCCAGACCGCGTTGGCCCACTCCAGGGCTTTCCCCAAGAGGCAGGAGACGAGGGCGGACACCTTCTCCCGCTCCGATGGAGCCGGGCTGATGTTCACGAAATAGAGGTCCAGCTGCAGGAGGAATCCCTGGCAGGGGGCAGCCGTCCCGTCAAACTCCCTCGGTCAGGATAGATGAATCCCTTGGGGTGCTGGAGTGTTGATGGCTGGATCCGGTCGCTCAGCTGGTTCCGACGGGTCGGGTCCTCTCCTCTCCAGACGTTGGATGACCTGGAGAACCCGATCCATCGCTTCTCCCAAGCTGGCTAGCATCCTGGAATGCTCTTGACCCGTGCCACGACTCCAGGCATGGGCTCTTCTCCTGCTGACTCCATGAAGGAGTCAGGCGCAGGAGGGTAAATCATAGAATAACAGGTTCATTCCGTTGACACAGCGGTACACAGCAATGCGTCAAACACTCCAGTGCGGAAATATACAGCGCACTGGAAACAACAAGGTACACGGTTGAATATCCCGGCGATACAAAAGACAAGCGCTCCACTGAGCTAAACTAACCTCCACAATAAACAATCACACACAAAGACAAGGGGGCAGAGGGAACACTTATACAGGTACTGATGAGGGGAATTGAAACCAGGTGTGTGTAATAAAGACAAATCAAATGGAATGATGAGATGAGGAGCGGCAGTGGCGGGAAGACCGGTGACGACGAACGCCGAAACCTGCCCGAACAAGGAGAGGAGGCAGCTTCGGAGGAAGTCGTGACAGTCACTGCATATGCATGTTAGAGTAATGTGAAGTTATGATAATGTTATACTTATTTCCTATTTTTACATGTTCTGATAGTATAATCATAGAGCTGTAAATACACCAAAGAGTAACATTTCTCACCGTTGTAGCAGACCGAGTAGTATTTTTGGTCGCAATGGAGATCCCAACATGTCCCATACTCTCCTGTCACTACACAGTGCTGATTAGTGTATTTACCATCTGAACTGTTCCTAAACTCAGCCTCTCCATCTCCATAGAAACCACTATCTTCCAGAGACCACCTCCAGCTGTTAACATGATTATACAGCCCTATCCAGGCTGATCCATTATAACCACTTTCTACAGTGTTGACCAGCCTCTTCATATCCTCCATGTTGTCTATGGTGGCCAGGTCAGTGTACTTCTCTCTGCAGTATCTCTGTGCTTCAGTCCAGTTCTTATTCATTTTCACAAAGTGATACTCATGAGCAAGGCATGAGGAGAGAGTGTAGAGCCCTGTGGAGAAGTCCATTATCTCATTAATATTTTCACTGTAGTGTCTATGTGAGGAATATTATCTACATTTTGGTGCAACCAATGAGGACAATGAAACCTGCAGTAGCAGTGGTTTAACAGTTATCCTTGGGACTGACCCGGTTTGTTCTTACTCTCACTTTTTGATAACGTTGGTCTGTGCACGGCCCTGTCCCCGATGCGAATTCGATAAATACTAGAATTCTACGCTTTGCATCTTGGAACTTTGCTATCGAACTCACTTGACTGTCTTACAATGTTACAAGAAAATTAAGCTTGCAATTGTGCTTTCTGCCACTGTGTGCTCTCCTTGCATTGCGACGCAAACAACAAAAAAACTAACTTTTCGACCAGCGTACCTGTACATAGAAATGTTCTTACCAAACAAATGATGATATTTTCTAAAACTACTGTAGCCTATAGAGAGCCATTCCAGCTCAATATGTGAAAATACTTGTAAATGGAAAATTTTGCCAGATAAATGTTGTCAACTTCAAATGTAAAATATGGATTTAAAAACAAAACCTTAATAAAGACACTGACCAGAGAGAAACAGGACCAGCGCCTTCTTGTCCATGACTTAATAAGACAGACCTCTTGTACCTACAGACCAAAGGTGAACATATTTAGACATGATTGTTGTCATCCTCATCATCATCACCCTTAAAATAAACATTTTATAAATTAGGTTGTTATCCCTTTTGTCAAGAAAACCAGCTAGCTTTCCTCTGTATTGGTGAAATGTCCTTACCTGATGTAGTACTGTGGAGTCTCTGTTCATCTGAACCTCTCTCTGAAGGCATCACTGTCTATAATCTCTGTCAGAATAAAGTTGCTGACAGTACACCTATTTATCTCTGTGTTTATCATATTTTATAGTGTGTTAAAGAGAACGTCACCGTTCTCTGTACCACCAGTTTACAACAGAGACAGTCAAATGAGTAGTGAATGTTAGCCTGTTTTATTTTCTGACTGTTTATGGCCCTACAGGCGTAAAATACAGAAGGTTGCTAGTTCCAGACGATGTCTTCTATCTTCGATCTTCTTCTATCTTTCTGACTACAAAACATAGAAACCTGCAGTAGTAGTTGTCTGGCAGCCATGGTAAACAAATGGCCAAAATAAAATTGCTTACGGGACAAAGTTGGCCCGCATACCGCCTGTTGCCTATCCCTGGTATAGAACTTCCTCTTTCTCTGTATATTTATCTACAGAATGCCTTTGTAAAACAAATGAGTTGACCAAGTCAAGTAACCTCCTTGGTTAGAAACGGAAACAAGAAGTTCCCTTACGGAAAAACCACATGTGGAATTTTATTTTGTATGTGAAATTTAATGTGTGAAATCATGTGAAGCCATGTGGTTTTAGAACACTTCACATGTGATGATACTTCACAAGTGATCACACACAGATGAAATCGGAAGTTTACATACACTTAGGTTGGAGTCATTAAAACTCGTTTTTCAACCACTCCACAAATGTATTGTTAACAAACTATAGTTTTGGCAAGTCGGTTAGGACATCTACTTTCGGTTAGGACATCTACACAAGTAATTTTTCCATCAATTGTTTACAGACAGATTATTTCACTTCCATTAGTCTGGTTCATCCTTGGGAGTAATTTCCAAACGCCTGAAGGTATGTCACGATCGTTTACGAACGAGAAGGACCAAGGCGCAGCGTGATATGCATTCATATTTATTTACGGCTAAACACACGACAAAACAACAAACGAAAAGTGAAGTCCAAGGTAGCATACAAACAACATACCTTACTCGGAACAAGATCCCACAACTAACAGGTGCCAAAAGGCTGCCTAAGTATGGGCCCCAATCAGAGACAACGAGCTACAGCTGCCTCTGATTGGGAACCACCCCGGCCAACATAGATCTGCACACGCTAGATCTAAAACATAAAAATCAAACATAGCAACACACAACACGGAAAATACACACCCTGACTCAACAAATACAAGTCCTCAGAGTCAGGGCGTTACAGTAACCCCCCCCAAAGGTGCGGACTCCGACCGCGCCACATAAACATAACAGGGTAGGGGCCGGGTGGGCATTCCGCCTTGGAGGCGGATCCGGCTCCGGGTGTGACCACCACATACTCTCCACCTCCCCGTTGCGCCTCTGGTCTGGTCTGGACCTCGGCGCGCTGCTTCCCCTCTCCTTCCTCCCACGAAGTACCAAGCCCTGTCTGGACCCTGGTGTGGGAGACCCCAAACCTGGAGAGGGGCTGACGTCTGGGTCTGGACTGGAACCGCTGACTGGAGCTGGATCCGACGACGGTGGATCGAACTGCTCTGGCTCCGGAGTGGAGCCGCTGACCGGAGCTGGATCAGGCACCGGTGGAGCGGACTGCTCTGGCTCCGGAGTGGAGCCGCTGACCGGAGCTGGACTGGACCCCGGTGGAGCGGATTGCTCTGGCTCCGGAGTGGAGCAGCTGACCGGTGCCGGACCAGGCACCGGTGGAACAGGCACGGGCCGTGCCGGACTGGACATACGCACCACTGGCTTGGTGCGGGGAGCAGGAACGGGCCGGACCTGGCTGATGACGCGCACCCCTGGCTTGGTGCGGGGAGCAGGAACGGGCCGGACTGGGCTGACGACGCGCACCACTGGCTTGGTGCGGGGAGCAGGAACGGGCCGTACCGGACTGGCGACGCGCACCACTGGCCTAGTGCGGGGAGCAGGAACAGGCCGGGCCGGCGACACGCACCACTGGCTTGGTGCGTGGGACAGGAACAGGTCGGACCGGGCTGGCGACGCGCACCACTGTCTTGGTGCGAGGGGCAGGAACAGGCCGGGCCGGGCTGGCGACGCGCACCACTGACTTGGTGCGAGGGACAGGTACAGGCCGGACCGGGCTGGCGACGCGCACCACTGGCTTGATGCGAGGAGCAGGAACGGGCCGAACCGTACTGGGAACACGCACCACTGGCTTAGTGCGGGAAGCAGGAACGGGCCGGACCGGACTGGCGACACGCACCACTTGATCCTTCTGCTGCCTAACCAGCTCCTCTCGCCGTGCCTCTACACTTTCCTTCTGCTCCCTCTGAACCAATGGCCCCCCTAATCTGTTGGCCTCCTCTGCTAAACAGCGGAACCGCTCTATCGCGGCCTCCCGCTGCCTCGTCGTCCACGGCGTGAGCCCCCCCCTAAAAAGTGTTTGGGATTGTCTCTCCCCCGTGATCATGGCCTCCATCCCCCTTGCCAGACTCTCGCTCATCTCCTCCCAAGTCCATCCTCTCTCCTCGTCACGCTGCTTGATCCAGGATTGGTGGGATCTTCTGTCACGATCGTTTACGAACGAGAAGGACCAAGGCGCAGCGTGATATGCATTCATATTTATTTACGGCTAAACACACGACAAAACAACAAACGAAAAGTGAAGTCCAAGGTAGCATACAAACAACATACCTTACACGGAACAAGATCCCACAACTAACAGGTGCCAAAAGGCTGCCTAAGTATGGTCCCCAATCAGAGACAACGAGCTACAGCTGCCTCTGATTGGGAACCACCCCGGCCAACATAGATCTGCACACGCTAGATCTAAAACATAGAAATCAAACATAGCAACACACAACACGGAAAATACACACCCTGACTCAACAAATACAAGTCCTCAGAGTCAGGGCGTGACAAGGTACCACGTTCATCTGTACAAACGATAGTACGCAAGTATAAACACCATGGGACCACGCAGCCGTCATACCGCTCAGGAAGGAGACGCGTTCTGTCTCCTAGAGATGAACGTACTTTGGTGTGAAAAGTGCAAACCAATCCCAGAACAACAGCAAAGGACCTTGTGAAGATGCTGGAGGAAACAGGTACAAAAGTATCTATATCCACAGTAAAACGAGTCCTATATTGACATAACCTGAAAGGCCACTCAACAAGGAAGAAGCTACTGCTCCAAAACCGCCATAAAAAAGCCAGACTACGGTTTGTAACTGCACATGGGGACAAAGATCGTACTTTTTGGAGAAATGTCCTCTGTTCTGATGAAACAAAAATAGAACTGTTTGCCCATAATGACCATCGTTATGTTTGGAGGGAAAAGGGGGTTGCTTGCAAGCCGAAGAACACCATCCCAACCGTGAAGCACGGGGGTGGCAGCATCATGCTGTGGGGGTGCCTTGCTGCAGGAGGGACTGGTGCACATCACAAAATAGATGGCATCATGAGGAAGGAAAATTATGTGGATATATTGAAGCAACATCTCAAGTCATCAGTCAGGAAGTTAAAGCTTGGTCGCAAATGTTTTCTTTATTTGTATTTAACTAGGCAAGTCAGTTAAGAACAAATTCTTATTTACAATGACGGCCTACACCGGCCAAACCCGGACGATGCTGGGCCAATTGTGCGCCGCCCTATGGGACTCCCAATCACGGCCGGTTGTGATACAGCCTGGAAACGAACCAGGGGTTCTGTAGTGACGCCTCAAGCACTGAAATGCAATGCCTTAGACCACTGCGCCACTCAAGAGCCCAAATGGGTCTTCCAAATGGACAATGACCCCAAGCATACTTCCAAAGTTGTGCCAAAATGGCTTAAGGACAACAAAATCAAGGTATTGGAGTGGCCATCACAAAGCCCTGACCTCAATCCTATAGAAAATGTGTGGGCATAACTGAAAAAGTGTGTGCGAGCAAGGAGGCCTACAAACCTGACTCAGTTACACCAGCTCTGTCAGGAGGAATGGGCCAAAATTCACCCAACTTATTGTGGGAAGCTTGTGGAAGGCTACCTGAAATGTTTGACCCAAGTTAAACAATTTTAAGGCAATGCTACCAAATACTAATTGAGTGTATGTAAACTTCTGACCCACTGGGAATGTGATGAAATAAATAAAAGCTGAAATAAATCATTCTCTCTACTATTATTCTGACATTTCACATTCTTAAAATAAAATGGTGATCCTAACTGACCTAAGACAGGGAATTTTTACTAAGATTAAATGTCAGGAATTGTGAAAAACTGAGTTTAAATATATTTGGCTAAGGTGTATGTAAACTTCCGACTTCAACTGTAACCTTTCACATGTGTATTCACATATTGACATGATGCCCTGCAAACAAAAATGTGTCCTTGTCACAGTACATGTTGGCATTCATGGTTCCCTCAATGAACTGTAGCTCCCCAGTGCCGGCAGCACTCATGCAGCCCCAGACCATGACACTCCCACCACCATGTTTGACTGTAGGCAAGACACACTTGTCTTTGTACTCCTCACCTGGTTGCCGCCATACACGCTTGACACCATCTGAACCAAATAAGTTTATCTTGGTCTCATCAGACCACAGGACATGGTTCCAGTAATCCATGTCCTTAGTCTGCTTGTCTTCAGCAAACTGTTTGCGGGCTTTCTTGTGCATCATCTTTAGATGAGGCTTCCTTCTGGGACGACAGCCATGCAGACCAATTTGATGCAATGTGCGGTGTATGGTCTGAGCACTGACAGGCTGACCCCCCACCCCTTCAACCGCTGCAGCAATGCTGGCAGCACTCATACGTCTATTTCCCAAAGACAACCTCTGGATATGACGCTGAGCACGTTCACTCAACTTTTTTGGTCGACCAAGGAGAGGCCTGTTCTGAGTGGAACCTGTTCTCGATTACGACGGCAAACTACACCTTTTATCTGCTTACGTAGTTTGGCTGTGCAAAATAAACGCACCCTTTTTCTGTGTAGGTCCAGGGTGACGTTTCCCCTAGGTACAGATCTAGGATCAGCTTCCCCTCCCCAATCCTAACCTTAACCATTAAAGTGGGGAAAATGCCAAACTGACCCAAGATTAGCGTCTAGGGGCAACTTCACCCCTAATCTTTCTGATTCTGGCTGCAGCAGGCCTATGTAAAACATGGCAGCCGTGGTCAACAAATGAGCGTACCGTAGTCAAATTGTCTGCTCTCACTTCAACCATTGGGTGTGTGGACAACGATGAAAATAAGTCTACTGACTATCGTTTTTTGTTTTATCCTTGATTGTTTTTAATGTGTGTATTGTTGTGTGTATTGCCTACTTTTCAAATGCAGGCATCTCCTAACTAAGAGATTCTGTTTATTGTTTGTCTTTTCCCCCTCTTTTTTAAAAGTATGTTGTATGTTTATTGTATACAGAGAGATAGAGGTGAAAGGAGAGAGAGTGCTGAAAGAGCAGTGGAACTCATGCTGGCAGCGACACGTAGTACGTGCTGCAGAAGCAGCAGCTTGGACCTCCAGACCACACCACTGTTTCTAACTTTTAATAGGACCGCGTTTATAGCATTAGGACATGTGGCACAGTTGGTAAGAGCCTGGCACTAGCAACTTCAAGGTTGTGGGTTCGATTCCTACTAGGTTTCTGTTACACTGAAAATAAAATCTATGCACTCACTGTAGTTAAAGTTGCTTTGGATGAAAGCATCTTCTAAATTTACATTTTAGTCATTTAGCAGACGCTCTTATCCAGAGCGACTTACTTTAAATCAGGCCGTCTTTCCAACCTTGCACAATACAGCTTTTCTGATGAGTTTTTATGCTCTGTGTTAAGAACAGACTGGCCATAGGGCAGTTCGGATCAATGCCAGATGGGCCGGTCCATCTTTAGCCCAGTGGGCCTGTTTAAATTGGGGGGACAGAACAATGGGCTGTTGTGTCAGAAATGCCTGGGACGATTTTTGGTCCCAGTCCATCCTTGCTCTGTGTTAATACTCTAATTCCCTCTGAACCCCTTAATTTCAATGGACTTGACCCCATAGAGTTCATTGAATGATAGGATCTCTATGGTTGACCTTACTTTTCATTAAACATGGAAAGTAAAAAAAAACTACAGAGAATTATGATGTCAGAGAAGCTTATAAGAGAAATACCTAGTAATGTTTTGACCTCTCGCAATAGAACAACACTATTGTTGAAAAAAAATACCCACACCAATGATTTTCATACGCCTGTATGAAACACTGTCATATACAAATTATACAGGTAAGAGAAGGGGTGTAGACAACGGCACTGTGAACTATTTGTGACAGACAGTTTTGCATGGATAGCATGAACATAATAAACAGATCTGGGGTTCAAGAGGAGAAGAGAGAGATGAGGTGTTGGTAGAAGAGAGAAGAGAGAGATGAGGTGTTGGTAGAAGAGAGAAGAGAGAGATGAGGTGTTGGTAGAAGAGAGAAGAGAGAGATGAGGTGTTGCTAGAAGAGAGAAGAGAGAGATGAGGTGTTGGTAGAAGACAGAAGACACAACAACACAGTAATACAATAAGAACATAAATCCCAACTACAAGAATTGTCTGTCCTCTTTGTACAAAGGTAAGATTTGTTGGTTCAGGAAAATAAGATGCACACTGACACAGTGCATATAACTATGGTTGCGTCCGATTCCCAAATAGCTCCCTATTCCCTGTATAGTGCACTACTTTTGACCAGAGCTCTATGGACCCTGGTCAAAAGTAGTGCACTACATAGGGAATATGGTGCCATTTGGGATGCACACCTATGTATATGTGTTGTCACATTTTTTAAAATGTTGTATTCATGTATTTGTTTATATGAATTGAATTGGTTCATTCGTGTAATTGTTTCATTTTGGCATTTCGGTGGAATGGGTCTCCATACATCCTGGATGTGTCTTCACTAAAGTCATAGGTTACGTCCAAATGGCACCCTATTCCCTATGGCCGCTGGTCAAAAGTAGTGCACTATATAGGGAAAAGGGTAACATTTAGGACGTATTCATAATATAATTCATGCCATTTAGCAGACCCTTTTAACCAAAGCGACTTACAGTTGCAAATTACGATAAATTATTATGTTGCAAATGCTTATGATAAATGATGGTGATGATTCTACTGCTGGTGCTGATGATTCTAATGCTGGTGGTGATGATGATTCTACTGCTGGTGGTGATGATTCTACAGCTGGTGGTGATGATTCCACTGCTGGTGGTGATGATTCCACTGCTGGTGGTGATGGTGATGATTCCACTGCTGGCGGTGATGGTGATGATTAGTGATGGGCACTGATATGGAAAATCTATATCAATTTCAGCTGTATGTTTTCGAACTGATATCTATAGGTTTGAATGAATTACATTGCAACTGTGTGGACTTCACTTTGACGGCTTTGTTAAATTCAGACAACTGCTTGCTGATTGCCCGTTGGACCAGGTCTGAACGTTCTAACCTACCCAACCAGTTAGAATACAATGGGAAGCCAGTTGATGGCCCACCAGCAGGCAGTTAACTATGCTAAGTTGAACGCCTGTGAGAGGGTTTTGTGCCTGCAGGAACAGTCATGTATGCTATTTTACATAATAGTGTAGTTTAACAGCAGGGATAAACCGATATCAGAATATGCCACTCGGATTATCGATACTAGTGATAATGATGATGATGGTGATGATGAGGATGATGAGGATGATGATGGTGATGATGAGGATGATGGTGATTATGAGGATGATGAGGATGACAACAATGATGACAATTCTAGTTTTATGTCTAAATGTATTCACCTTGGTCTGTAGGTACAAGAGGTATGTCATATTCACTACTCATTGTCTCTGTTGTAAACTGGTGGTAAAGAGAACGGTGACGTTCTCTTTAACACACTATAAAATATGATAAACACAGAGATGAATAGGTGTACTGTCAGCAACTTTATTCTGACAGAGATTATAGACAGTGATGCCTTCAGAGAGAGGTTCAGATGAACAGAGACTCCACAGTACTACATCAGGTAAGGACATTTCACCAATACAGAGGAAAGCTAGCTGGTTTTCTTGACAAAAGAAAACCTGGGGTGGCAGGTAGCTTAGTGGTTAAGAGCGTTGTGCCAGTAACCAAAAGGTCGCTGGTTCTAATCCCTGAGCCGACTAGGTGAAAAATCTGTCAATGTGCTCTTGAGCAAGGCACTTAACCCGACTGCTCCTGTAAGTTGCTCTGGATAAGAGCGTATGTAAAAGGGATAACAACATTTACATTTTAGTCATTTAGCAGACGCTCTTATCCAGAGCAACTTACAGTGAGCGCATACATTTTTATTATTTTTTCATACTGGCCCCCCGTGGGAATTGAACCCACAACCCTGGTGTTGCAAGCGCCATGCTCTACCAACTGGGCTACAATTTATAAAATGTATATTTTAATGGTGATGATGAGGAGGATGACAACAATCATGTCTAAATGTGTTCACCTTTGGTCTGTAGGTACAAGAGGTCTGTCTTATTAAGTCATGGACAAGAAGGCGCTGGTCCTGTTTCTCTCTGGTCAGTGTCTTTATTAAGGTTTTGTTTTTAAATCCATATTTTACATTTGAAGTTGACAACATTTATCTGGCAGAATTTTCCATTTCCAAGTATTTTCACATATTGAGCTGGAATGGCTCTCTATAGGCTACAGTAGTTTTAGAAAATATCATCATTTGTTTGGTAAGAACATTTCTATGTACAGGTACGCTGGTCGAAAAAAGTTACCAGCTTTTTTTCTTGCATCAAACTGCATGGAGAGCACACAGTGGCAGAAAGCACAATTGCAAGCTTAATTTTATTCTAACATTGTAAGACAGTCAAGTGAGTTCAATAGCAAAGTTCCAAGATGCAAAGCGTAGAATTCTAGTATTTATCGAATTCGCATCGGGGACAGGGCCGTGCACAGACCAACGTTATCAAAAAGTGAGAGTAAGAACAAACCGGGTCAGTCCCAAGGATAACTGTTAAACCACTGCTACTGCAGGTTTCATTGTCCTCATTGGTTGCACCAAAATGTAGATATTGTTCCTCATATAGACACTACAGTGAAAATATTAATAAGATAATGGACTTCTCCACAGGGCTCTACACTCTCTCCTCATGCCTTGCTCATGAGTATCACTTTGTGAAAATGAATAAGAACTGGACTGAAGCACAGAGATACTGCAGAGAGAAGTACACTGACCTGGCCACCATAGACAACATGGAGGATATGAAGAGGCTGGTCAACACTGTAGACCGTGGTTATAATGGATCAGCCTGGATAGGGCTGTATAATCAAGTTAACAGCTGGAGGTGGTCTCTGGAAGATAGTGGTTTCTATGGAGATGGAGAGGCTGAGTTTAGGAACTGGGACAGTTCAGATGTTAAAAACACTGATCAGCACTGTGTAGTGACAGGAGATCAGGGGACATGGTGGGATGACGGTTGTAACATAAAATACAACTCGGTCTGCTACAACGGTGAGAACATGTTACTCTTTGTTCTATTTACAGCTCTGTGTTTGTACTATCAGAACATGTAAAAATAGGAAATAATTATAACATTATCATAACTTCACATACTCTAACATGCATATGCAGTGACACTATATAAACATTACTGAAAACAAGTATAGATTTCTTGTGAAATATTTACCTGGACATCAAGATGCATTCAACAATTGCAGGAAACACAACCAACATTTCTGAGAGGTTCATCTTGTCAAAGGAAAGTATGACATGGGAGGAAGGGCAGAGCTACTGCAGACAGCACTACACAGACATGGCCAGTGTGAGGAACCTGGCTGAGAGCCAGAAGATAGGGAACATGTTACCGAAGGAAAGCTGGGCGTGGATCGGCCTGTTCAGAGACTGGAGCTGGTCGGACCAGAGTAACTCTTTATTCAGATACTGGCATACAGGAACACCCAATAATCGCTACGGGAACTGTGTGTCGGTGTTCGGTAAATCAGGCGAATGGACAGACTACACATGTGAGACAAAACTTCCCTTCTGTTGCTACAGTGGTGAGTTATATGATATAGTGTGTGTGTGTGTTGGTGTGTTTCTGTGTGTGTCACTGGCATAGCGCTGTTTCTCTGAACATCCCCCTCCAAAAAACTCTAATGCGTCAGCCACTCACAAAGTATAGCCTACCGATCGCTGTCCATGGTTCTGAAATTGCAACGTCCACACGGCTGCCTATCGATAGGCTATTAGATTATGTGGTGCTAGTGCTTGTAGTTGGTGTGGATGGGTGGGCGTATAATGCAAATGACTAGGAACTAAGATTGCGTGTTCGAATCTCATCACGGACAACTTTAGCATATTAGCTCATTAGAAACATACTACTTTTTAGCTATTTTTGCAACTACTTAGCTAAACCTTCCCATAACATTTTAACCTAACTCCTAACCTTAACCCTTAGCCTAGCTAACGTTAGAGTTAGCCACCTTGCTAACATTAGGCCCAACAAAATGTAATTTGTAACATATTCGTCTCCAAAGCCTCATACACTACCCACCACTGTGACCTGTACGCTCTTGTTGGCTGGTCCTCACTACATATTCGTCGCCAAACCCACTGGCTCCAGGCCATCTATAAATCACTGCTAGGCAAATCCCTGCCTTATCTTAGCTCATTGGTCACCATAGCAACACCCACCCGTAGTATGCGCTCCAGCAGGTATATCTCACTGGTCATCCCCAAAGCCAACACCTCCTTTGGCCGCCATTCCTTCCAGTTCTCTGCTGCCAATGACTGGAACGAATTGCAAAGATCTCTGAAGCTGGAGACTCTTATCTCCCTCACTAACTTTAAGCATCAGTTGTCAGATCACCTTACCGATCACTGCACCTGTACACAGCCCATCTGAAATTAGCCCACCCAACTACCTCATTCCTATATTGTTATTTATTTTGCTCATTTGCACCCCAGTATCTCTATTTGCACATCATCTCTAGCACATCTATCATTCCAGTGTTAATACTAATTGTAATTATTTTGCATTATAGCCTATTTATTGCCTTACCTCCATAACTTGCTACATTTGCACACACTGTATATATATTTTCTGTTGTATTTTTGACTTTATGTTTTGTTTTACCGCATATGTAACTCTGTGTTGTTGTTTTTATCGCACTGCTTTGCTTTATCTTGGCCAGGTCGCAGTTGTAAATGAGAACTTGTTCTCAACTGGCTTACCTGGTTAAATAAAGGTGAAAAAATAAAATAAAAAATATCATACGTTTTTCTAATTATTCATGTATTGTACGAATTGCAATTCTTAACAGTGTACAAATTGTAATTCGTAACATATCATACACAAATTAATACATACCATACGAAACGTCACATATCATACTAATTGGAGTGTACCAGATTTACATTTACTATGTTACGTTTACCCCTGAGTCCAGGTTGGTCGTAGCCTATAGCATTCCTTTAATGGTTACATTTATTATTATTTGGTTGTAATTGTCTCATGTTAAGCCTAACGTTTATGTTTCACTAAGCTATAGCCGTACGGTGTCGCAATATTGCTATTTAGAATGTTGGTTGGCGTCAATAATGTATTTACTTATTCAGTATTTAAAGTGGGAAAATCAAGCATTGCAGATTGTAAAATTAATTTTCAATGAAACAGCATACTAATCAGTAACCAATATATTTTCTTTAGAATATACCACTGTCCTGTAGGCCTATAGCCTATCTTAGCTGCCCTCTCGCTCGCTCGCAGCTTGGATAGAAAGTTTGTGCTGCATAAAACCAGTCTATGAATGCCAAATAATACAATCAGTCCACCATCAAAACAATAGCTTACTAGGGATTGTTTCATTATGCAGACAATGCAGTCTAGCCTACTAGCCTATCTATAGCTACTGTAATTTACCCTTTGACTTTACCAAAAATGTCTCAACCCCTACAAAAATGTCCATTAATTAAAATCCAGATAATAATTCACATTTCCTGTTGCTGCAGGATTATTTTCCTGCTGTAGCAAACTGGCTCAAATTAAGATCCTACATCTATCTGTCTCTGTTAGTCTTAGTGAAGAAGACACAGCAGGTTGTGAGAGTGAAGCTGACCCCAAAGGACCAGAACATGGACCTGACTGATCCTGCCGTACAGGAGGCCATCTTGCAGCAGGTGAGTCTCACATTCTCTTCCTCTTAGAGCAGGGTTACCAAACCCTGTTCCTGGAGAGCTACCCTCCTGTAGGTTTTCGCTCCAACCCCAGGTGTTACTAACCTGATTCATCTTATCAACCTGCTAATTATTAGAATCAGGTGTGCTAGATTAGGAGCTCTCCAGGAACAGGGTTGGGCAGTCCTGTCTTAGAGAGATTAGAGCCACTTTAGTACAAGTGATAAAGGGTTACTGCATTATCTGGCCAGAATATATACCATTGACTACAGATTTACCTGTCATCTATAACGACCATTACAACTACATCTTATGTACTTATTCATAATGTATATGACTACATATCACTGATGCTATAATGTCTTATGCAGCTGTTATAAAGGCTTTCTGAATGAGGAATACAGTAAAGTGTTAGCCAGTACTGGCTGCATATTCGCTACACTAGTCAGTAAACAAAATGCTGTTTGTGTTCCTCAGATAAAGAAGGAGCTGAGGGAGAAGGGGATGTCTGATGACATCAAACTGAGATGGAAGGAGCAGCCCGATGGAAAGATCTTCCACAAGGAAGAAAAGGAGAAGAAGTAAGGAGGAGAAACTGAATCGAGTATCAAGCTGGAACTGTAAATACTATTACAGGAGAGACTAAGGGGACTTTTCTGACCAACATCCCATTGACAGTCAGACTAGCCAAAACCCTAAAACTAACCCTTACCGTAACCCTAACCTTAACCAACCCCTTAACCCTAACCCAACCTTAACTTCCCCTAATTTTAACCAATTTCGAAACTAAATAATGGCTTGCACGTTAGTCAAGTCCCTTTAGTTTTTCCCTACTACTACATAAAACAAATTTTAAAAATTGTATCCTGTTCTTTATTCTCAACAGCCAACAATATTTTAATATTTTTACTGACACATTATAATGTCAAATTGCATTTGGATTGTTTTGGCACTTATTGCTGCAATGAATTGTTCAAACTATAATTCCAAGAAACGTCTAAATGTTTCAGCTTTCTTGTTATTGATTCAATGTATTTATTTTTCTTGTGATTTCTCAGTTTCTAAGTGTAAACAACTATCTTAACATGAAAAGTGTGTGTTTGTATTTACATTATGTGGGTTAAAGGGGAAATAGATGTATCTCTGTGTTTATTCAAGTAGGTTCAATGGGCACATACGCCACAGGGAGAACATGTGTAAGTTATTGATTTTTATGTAATCGATTAATTATATAATTGGTTGATTGGTTGATTGATTGTAATATTATTTGCAGCATTTACAATTAATGATTGTTCAATTTGTTCATTATAATTTTTTTATTATGGTTATCTACACTTTTAAAATATAGCTTGTAATGTATTTTCTAACTCTTCTTACAGTACTATTATTATTAAAGTTATATGATTTAAAACAGAGTTTTACTGTGGATATACAGTATATAAACATGCTAACAAATAATGTGTGTGTGCGTATGTATGTACACTACATGAGCAACAGAATGTGGACACCTTCTCGTTGAACATCTCATTCCAAAATCATGGGCATTAATATGGAGTTGATCCCCCATTTGCTGCTATAACAGCCTCCACTCTTCTGGGAAGGCTTTCCACTAGATGTTGGAACATTGCTGCGGCGACTTGCTTCCATTCAGCCAAAAGGGCATTAGTGAGGTCGGGCACTGATGTTGGGCGATTAGGCCTGGCTCGCAGTCGGCATTCCAATTCATCCCAAAGGTGTTCGATTGGGTGGAGGTCAGGGCTCTGTGCAGGCCAGTCAAGTTCTCCACACCGATCTCAACAAACAATTTATTTAAGGACCTTGCTTTGTGCATGGGGGTATTGTCATTCTGAAACAGGTTAAAGGCCTTCCCCAAACTGTTGCCACAAAGTTGGAAACACAGAATCGTCTAGAATGTAATTATAAGCTGTAGCATTAAGATTTCCCTTCACTGGAACTAAGGGGCCTAGCCCAGACCATGAAAATCAGCCCCAGACTATTATTCCTCCTCCACCAAACTTTACAGTTGGCACTATGCATTAGGGCAGGTAGCGTTCTCCTGACATCCGCCAGACCCAGATTTGTCCGCTTGTGTGGCCTATCACTTCACGGCTGAGCCGCTGTTGCTCCTAGACGTTTCCACTTCACAATAACAGCACTTACAGTTGACTGGGGCAGCTCTAGCAGGGCAGAAATCTGACAAACTGATTTGTTGGAAAGGTGGCATCCTATGATGGTGCGACGTTGAAAGTCACTGAGCTCTTCAATAAGGCCATTCTACTGCCAATGTTTGTCTAAGGAGATTGCAATACTGTGTGCTCGATTTTATACACCTGTCAGCAACGGGTATGGCTGAAATAGCCAAATCCACTAATTTGAAGGGGTGTCCACATACTTTTGTATATATATATATATATATATATATATATATATATATATATATATATAGTGTAATTGTCTTACTCTTTAAACTAATGTTCATCAATGTTCCCTCAAAAATTCAGTGCAACTTCCGGCACACGTTTACTGTGAACACTGAGGCTGTACCCGCTTTAAGTTAGTTTTAACAGTGGTCAAGTAGGCTACTCTGGCGATTTGATCATAATGTAGGCCTACCAGAGTGGCCTACCTGTCACGGTTTCGGCCGAGGCTGCTCCTCCTCCTTGTTCGGGCAGGTTTTGGCGGTCGTCGTCCCCGGAGTACTAGCTGCCACCGATCTATGTTTCATGTTCGTTTGGTTTTGTCTTGATGTTGTACACCTGTGTCTAGTTAGTCCTCATTAGTGTCCTATTTAGTTCTCGTTGTGTGTGTATGCTGTTGTGTGTGATTGCTCCTCTGTTTGGTGTTCTGAGCTACGTATTCTTCCCTCCGTGTTTGGAGTGGTTTTCACACATGTTAGTGCGCCTTTTGGTTGACGCCTGTGTGTGCCTTTATTTCGCCTCCGGGCTTATTGTTCTCGTGTACTACGTGAATAACTCACTAAAGTCTTTTGGACTTAGCTTCTGCGTCCTGCGCTTGATTCCTGCACCACACCCACCTTCAGCACCCCTGACACTACCATCAAAAACAATGGAGAAAAATCATCTGATAACATTTTAACATGGAAATAGCTGTTCTATCATTCAGCCTACAGTAGCAGCCAATGTGTGGTGTTCATTGTAGGCCTACATTCCATGAGACTTTGAAAGAAAACATGCAGGGCTTGACATTAACCAGTTAATCCACTTGTCCTTCAGACAAGGAGGTGACTGAAAATGTTGTTGTGTTGTTTGATACAAGAAACCACTTTACAAAATAAAATACATTATTATTCCCACACCATTATTACAGAGAATCAGACAAATTATGCTACCCTCTGCCTATTGGCTACTTATTCAAGCTTGTCTCAAAATACAACACTGCCCCTTTAAGACAAAAAAAAGCTCTTTACCTGACTCGCTTTTCAAAGATGTCTAGAAATGCACACGATTCGTGCTCTTGTATGAAGCAATCACGTCCCTATTGCTGAATACAAATGATCTATAACTGGGCTAATAACTCACTAACTAGCAAAGAATATGAACAAATGTACAAATGTGCACACTTCGCAACGTGTAGCTCTCGCTTTGACCTCAAAACAAGTGCACCTACTCACGACCGCTAATGCTGTAAAAACAGTCCAGTTCAAAGTGAATGGCACAGATCCATATATGGCAATGGCCTATTTGCATATAGGCCTACTGCAGCTCTGATTGGTTATGTTGAACCTGTCTGTGTAGAGTACGGGCCTGAGTCGTGCCTGTCAATGCAATAGAATCCTACTCCGATGCGTTCTGCCTACAACAAAATCTCTTAATATAATAATATAATATAATAATAATATAATAATATAATATAATATAATATATAATATAATATAATATAATATAATATGCCATTTAGCAGACGCTTTTATCCAAAGCGACTTACAATCATGCGTGCATACATTTTTTTGTGTATGGGTGGTCCCGGGGATCGAACCCACTACCTTGGCGTTACAAGCGCCGTGCTCTACCAGCTGAGCTACAGAGGACCACAGAGGACCACAACTCTTGCATAGTTTGTTTTGTTTCGTTATGTTGCACTGAAAATTGCTAATATTGCGTTGATTTGATCACAATTCCCACAGTAAAGGGAAACGTTGATAGTGTTAACTAAAGGGGAAAACTCTAGAAAGTTGAGAGAACTTCAATTTTCAGTCTGAAATGGTTGATTAGAAGTTGAGCGTCAGCAACTTTATAATACCATACTGTAATGTCATGTTTAATAAATAAAAACAAAGTACACTGAATTTAGCAACACTAGTCATCACAACCACAAAATACAACAGTGACAGAAGCGTTAAAATAACAGGGTATGAAATATGTTTTAAAAATATTTTTGTAGTAATATCCTTTGGCAGGGGCACAACTTTGGTTTTTAGAAGTGGGGGGAGGGGGACATAACTTGGTGGGGGGTCTGGGGGTCCACCCATTTCTGGGGCATCTAAAGCTCATTTCCTGCATTTCTACACAATCTAATATGACCCATGGCCCTTCTAGCTGTCTCTATTTAGAACAACATCAAGTAAGCAAAAATGCCCAGTCATCGAGCTAGGTAAGAGGATCATTATTAAATATATGTTTAAGTGATTGATAAGATTGAACTAGATCAATGATAATTAAATAATCAATATTGTGTTGCACATTTTACCAATAGCCTAACAAATGAACAACTCTTACAAATAAATTACAGACTTTTGATTGTCTTTATTAAGACATCCTCTACATCAAATTTCAGCCAGACCGCCCAGCCAACCCGAGCTGCCTGCATGCCCGACCCCCACCAGTCTAGTCAATATCTCAACTCTCTCCCCAACACAACTTCCTTCCCATCTTTTTTTGTTTTATCTCTCAAGGAAAGGTTTGGGAAAACAAACGTTTTATGAAAACACACATACACCTACACATTAACACACAGAAACAGTACATCCTCCATATAATTAAATCTCATAGGTCTAATAGTACTGTAGAGCTCTTTTTACTTGCACACAATATAGCTGGGTCGCCCCGACCTGCCCCTAGGGGTCCACCACACTGCAGCGCCCCAACCCAACACACTCCACTCAGCTTTAGGATCTTAAGTGAAACATTCATTATTGATTTCAGGTGTGTTAGTCCAAGGCCGGAGTGACAACCAACAGTACGGCAGACCCCCAGGGCCAGGACTGAGCAGCCCAGCAGCTAGGGATAGCTTAAATAGGTATCTCTCCTGACGTGGGCATGTTTTCAATAGACGCCTTTTGTCGTACAGTATTCCATATAAGGCATCCAGACCTTATGAAAGTTGCATAGTATACCCTTAATCTTGTAATAAATCAAATCTAGCGATACATAACTTGACATTTCTTCCATCCATTGTGGGAGGATAACCAACCTTCCAATTAATGGCAATGCATTTATTAGCCACTATAAATGCTAGGTTACACATTTTCTTCTGACAACAGTTGCTAGTATCAACATTTCCAAGCAAACAAAAACAGGGAGAAGGGAGAATATGTAGATGTGCTGAGATAAAAGAACATACTCTTTGCCAGATTTCAGCCAGCCTCCACAAGACCATAACATATGCAAACATGTCCCCTTTTTTTTTTTACATCTCCAGCAGAATAATTACATAACTGAGTGTATGATATTCAGTTTCACTGGCATATAGCACGTTTTATGGATGGTCTTAAACTGCAGTAATTTATGTCTGAAATGAAATGAACATGACTGGGCATTCTAACATATCTGTA